TCCGCGAAAATGCCCATATAATCTATACCGGATTAGTTTACTAACAATTTTGAGAGTGTGTTTGTGTAAATATTAAAGAGCAGGACCGATAAAGGGGAACCTTGAGGTATTCCATTGTCAATAGTGTGAGTATGTGACAAAAAACCTTCAACTTTAACTGTAACCCTTCTATGAGAGAGAAAGGAGAGCACAAAGTTTAGCAACATTTTTGGGGCACCCCATGCATGAAGCTCTTGTATTATTTGCGAGGAATCGAATGCTTCTTCTAAGTCCTCGGAGATGACAACACAGTGTTTGCTATTTTGTAGATTTGCTTTGATCTGATTTTCTAGAAGGTGACAGATGGTATGTACTCCGTGGTCGGGTATATAAGCATGTTGAATGCTTATTATTCGGGATTTAAACACTTTCCATAGTCTTTTCGAAAAAAGCTTTTCTAGAATTTTAGACAGAACTGGTAACAGGGATATAGGGCGATAACCTTCGCTACTATTTTGATTCTTTCCAGGTCTTGGTATTAGCGCTAGAATGGCATGTTTCCAGTCATCAGGGTATACTCCTGTTCTAAGAATTTGACTGTATAACTCACATATCGCTGATTTTTAAGGGAAGGTGAAGCGTTTTTGACCATCCTGTATGTGATTTTGTCATGACCGGGCGTGGTGCCTTTGAGGCGTTTTAGTGTTAGATTTAATTCTATAAGCGTTACTTCTTCTAGTATGTAGTTGTTTACGTTACCTTCTTGCATTTGGTTGATGTTTATTTGCCTTCTCTTAACTACTTCAGGACTGAATTGGCTATTTGATCCTATCGAACTCCATACATTTGCAAAGTTGTTTGCTATTTGCTGTTGGTGGTTGATTACTTTATTATTTACAAGAATAGGTGGAACATTTGGTGTTTTATGAGATTTAATGGTTTTCACTTTTCTCCATAAGCTTTTTGTGTCGATAGTTGGGTTTAATGAATTAACGAATCGCTTCCAGTTATCTTGTTTGGCTTGTTTGCATGCCCTCCTTACTTGTGCACATGCCTTTTTATAGCTTAAAACTCGTGTGAAAGTTCCTCTCTCTTTTAGCTTTTTCCAGGCTTTGTTTTTTAGGCTTATCAACCTGCTAATTTCGCTATTGAACCAAATCGGGGAGTTTCTTTCTTTTGGTGGTTTGCTAGTTGGCATGGATTCGTTAGCTGATTTTCGTTTAATTCTCTTGATTTGTGCGGCTTCTTTGTTAATGTTGCTTGATTGAACAAATTTCCTTTGAAGCTGCTCTGTTTTGTCTTTAAAGAGTTCCCAGTTGGCTTTGTGCTCTTTGAATTTCCCTATGAACTTTTTCGGTATATTCGAAATCTCGGTGTGCATTAGTATAGGAAAGTGGTCCGACATAATTGATGTTAAGCAATTCCATGTCAACGCAGCTGCTAGTTCAGATCTTGCCATGGACAAGGATTGCAGTTCCAGCTTTAGCATATGTAAAGCTTTTATTGTGGTGAAAAACTTTATAATTAGTAAGGTGTAGGAAGTTTATATTTTTGTTCGTTATGTGTGTCTCTTGGAGTAGTATAATCTCAGGCTTATGTTTTGCTACTAGATATTCTAACGCGTATTTGTTGTTCGTGAAACCTTGTAGGTTCCACTGCAGTATTGAAAAGTTTATGCCAATGGTCATTTAATAAGCGAAGTGTCTAGTCTTAAGTGTGTTGTTCATTTTCTAAAGCTTGTAGCGTTCTTTTGTAGGTATTTGGCGAGATGAAGACATTTAAATGTGGGTATTTTTTGTATATATCTGCGCAAGGCGACATTTCCATGTCACAGCTTTGGGTGTGTGTGTTATTTTTTTCGTTGCTCTTTGTTCTAGGTGGGCTTGAGCTGCTTTTCGATGCTGTTGTTGATGTGCTTTGATTTGATTGGTCTAGTGTTGTTGTAAGCTGAGGTCCATAGTTGGAGTTAGAAATATTCTTTTGAATGTTATTTGAAGGTGATTTAGTTTTGTTTTGAATTTCATTATTGCTTTTGAGTGATCTTGTTTTATCTTGATTTTGAATGTTATTTGAAGGTTGAGTAATATATGAAGAAATATGATTGCTTTTTTCGCTCTGTATTTGTTCGACTGCTGTGGTTTGGTCGTTTCTTGCAGTTTGTGCGTATGAAGGCTTGCTTTTTTGCCTATTCCTAGGTTCAATTTGGTATGCTGTGGGATTGCTGTTGTACACTTTCCAGGCTTCACGAACAGTACACCGGCGTTCAGCTTTAATTTTGGGAAGCTGGGACAAGTGGGGTCTTCGGAAGTGTGCGTGTTTTTACAAGTGTTTTTCGGATGCCCAAGTTTTTGGCAATTTCTGCACCTCATCGGGTTGGGGATATATTCCCGGACTGCGACTCTTTCCCATCCTAAACTGATCTTTTCTGGCCTCCGAATAAGATTGAAGGTGACAATTGCTGCTCCCGTTGGTGTTGCTACGTCATTAGTTATTTTCATTATTTTCCTAATTTCGATAACTTGTTGGCACGCTAATCCTTCCATTAATTCTTCTTCAGACAGTTTTATTATATTTCTAGAAAAGATGCGTCCCTGTGTTGAGTTTAGGTATTTGTGCGATGTAATTTTGACGGGTACTATATCAACATGAGTGGCTTTAGGAAAATGTTCCGCTGCTTTTCGGTTTCGGGTTTTTATGAGCAAGTCGCCAGATTTAAGCTCAGTAACTTCAGTTTACTCTGTACTTATGTGTTTAAGGCCCGTTTCTATCGGAAAAACATTGTAAGATGACAAAGGTCGAACTTCTTCGCCGTTTTTTGATGCAATTGCAGTTGCTATTAGATAGCGCGGTATGTGGTCATCATTTTGTTTAATTTCAGTTAATGGTATAAAATCGTCGTTCCTCATTCGTTTGCAGTGGTTGGTTTGAGAAGAAAGGTTGACATCTGGATCAAAGCTTTTAAACCTATTCTTAAAGGGGGGGTCAACCCCGTTCATAATTGTTTTTTTTTTTATAAGCCGGGATATAAGTTTTGCACTGTCACTTTAGAAAAGGAAGTGGTGGAAAGTGTAAGTTTCGTTGGCACTTGTGGTAAATCACACTAGCACACTAATACTTTAATACAGTACTTTACGCGTCGAACGCTCTGGTTGAACTGTTTTTATTTTTATTTTTTATTCAGAAAATAAACGTTATGTTTTGAGTTTTATTTTTTGCTCGGAAAATAATAGTTACGTTTTAAGTTTTATTTTCTGCTCGGAAAATAATGGTTACGTTTTAAGTTTTATTTATTGATCGGAAAATTATCGTTACGTTTTGAGTTTTATTATTTGCTCGGAAAATAATCGTTACATTTTAAGTTGCTCGGAAAATAATCGTTACGTTTTAAGTTTTATTTTTTGCTCGGAAAGTAATCGTTATTTCTTGAGTTTTATTTTTTGCTCGGAAAATAATGGTTACGTTTTAAGTTTTATTTATTGATCGGAAAATTATCGTTACGTTTTGAGTTTTATTATTTGCTCGGAAAATAATCGTTACATTTTAAGTTGCTCGGAAAATAATCGTTACGTTTTAAGTTTTATTTTTTGCTCGGAAAATATACGTTACGTTTTAAGTTTTATTTTTTGCTCGGAAAGTAATCGTTATTTCTTGAGTTTTATTTTTTGCTCAGAAAATAAAACTTCATTTTTGCGTATGCATATGCGCATGCGTGAATAAAAAAAAAATAGACAGGGCGGCTGCATTGAACTTTTAACGCCACCGCGGAGTGGGTAATGAAAATACAGAAGCAAGATACAAATTCATCATTATTTATCTTTAACTTTGTCCTGTTCTTCATCTTTATCATTGGCTTGATCCTTCTATAAAGGTTGTGTGTGGTTTTGTCGTTGTCCTTGTCTTTGTTTCTGCCCTTGTATTTTGCTCTCTGTATTTTCATTACCCACTCCACAGTGGCGTTAAAAGTTCAATGCAGCCGCCCCCTGTCTATTCACGCATGCGCATAGGCATACGCAAAAACCAAGTTTTATTTTCTGAGCAAAAAATAAAACTCAAGAAATAACGATTATTTTCCGAGCAAAAAATAAAACTTAAAACGTAACGATTACTTTCCGAGCAAAAAATAAAACTTAAAACGTAACGATTATTTTCCGAGCAAAAAATAAGACTAAAATGTAACCATTATTTTCTGAGCAAAAAATAAAACTCAAAACGTAACGATTATTTCCCGATCAAAAAATAAAACTTAAAACGTAACCATTATTTTCCGAGCAAAAAACACAACTTAAAACGTAATGATTATTTTCCAAGCAAAAAATAAAACTCAAAACATAACGATTATTTTCTGAGTAAAAAATAAAATTAAAAAAATAATCGTTATGTACTGAGCAAAAAATAAACTCAGTTGATAACGATTAAAAAGTGATTTTTATAATAAAAGTTATAACCGCTACGGTCCCTGATTGTACTAATACCGACCCTAAATGACTTCCACGCCCATCAACGTTTTGCCTAGAACTTTCAGTTGAGGTCCGTAAAATAACAAAAAGGCGCTTGAGAACCAATAATCATATACCATTTTCCCACGCCATCCTGAATTACTTTGTTCGTACCCCAAATTACGATCGTGAATTAACCCATTTCCCCGAGCATATTCTTAATTCGATTTGACAGTTCTCTGTCTCTGTGTTTTGCTTTTGTTTTCTTCGCCGCAAAATGTAGGTTCTTCCTAAAATTTATAGGTTTCCGTATTAAATTAGGGATATACACATTTATAAACATTACTTTTCGTACTCAGAAAAAATGCATGTTTTGATTTGTGAGCTAGTTTCGATAAACCTCCGATAAAAATTAGAGGCGGCACCGATGTGTTCGTAATTCGCATGGTAATTGAGGCAATTCGCTCTCCAAATTTTGTATGGCGAATTACGTAATTCGAAGGGTAATTGGAGCGCGAATTACGAATTTCAGAGCGTACTACGTAATTGAGCCGTGGGAAAGCCGTAATAGAACAAGTCATGACAATTATTTTATTACAATCTATTATCATTCCAATGCAAAAAATTTATTTTTCATAAAATGGTTTACAAATCAAGTAATGTTCCCCTCGCTTTCTTTGCTAAAGGCGGTTCTTCTGTTTTTTGTCGTAAACACAAATCCGTCAATTTACCACCTTTCCGCTGTAGTTGTTTCTCTATAATTTTGGCATTGTTTGCATAACTATCTGCGATTTCGCGCTAAGAGAAATAAAAGAAAAATTCATTAGTTTCTAACCTTATATCACAAATTCACTTACTGCTTCAATTTCATCTTCTTCCTCGTCAATGGTTGAGACTGTAACCGAGCTAAATTTTCCCATGTGCTTCGTATGGCGAGTTACCATGATTTTTTCACTTGCACCAAAACCTACTCCTTCAATGCATGAATCCGCAGTCATCACTTCTTCCAACTCCAGCGCATTATCAATTTTTTTACGAACTAATGAACCTCGAATGACGAATGTGACATCGGATGCAGGATCGTGACGGTAGTACAAAGGCAGATTGCAATATTTACACTTAAAAAAATTTAAAGTATAAAAATTATGAACATGTAACATGAGCTTTAATCTAGAGTATCTTTTTATACTAGAATAACGAAAACCATATTTACCAAATATAGTAAGAGCTGAGCAAGAGTAATTTTTAGCACACTTTATTGGCGTGGCCTGTATGTACATTATACATTTTCGTTAATTAAACTTTTTCTTGAAATATACCGTTTGCCAGGCAGAAATAAGTATTTTGATCTAAAAATGCAAAATATTGTTTTAATCTGATAACTCTAAGTATGTGCACGTTGCATTTGAAAATTTGGAAAACCATATGCATTCAAGGAACTCGTTTTATACAAAATAGTAAAAAACCATGAAATTTAGTCATTTACTATGTAAAATAACTCACGGAATCTGAATATGAAGTCAGAAATAAAAGAAGTCTATGTATAAGGTTTTGAGATTTTCCAAAACTACCGTTTTTAGTTTTTTCCAAAAACCTATAGTACTACTTTTGCGATCGCAAAAAGCTGTCCACCAGATTAAAGGTCTTCAAATTCCTTATCAAACTGCAATATAATGTTTTCCAAACAGATTATCAGTTTGAGAGTCATCTGCAAATTGATGGGTTAAATCGGGCGTAATTTTAAGATGCAACGTGATTCTACTGGTAATTACACCCAAAACTGTATTGAAGCGATATGTACAAACAAATTGTTGGCCATGGTTAAAACACTTCAAGCTATACATACATATGTACAGTCTGACCCAGAATAAGTGCCATTAAATCAAGGTTTATTAGATTTAAAGAAACCAATAAAATCTCATGACTTCTTTTTTATTGGTTAAGATACCTTACAAAGTTATTGGAATCAGTTCGTTGGATCAAATTTTCGCCTTTTAGATCTCGAAATACTAAGTTAAGACAAGCAGTTAAACGAGTAATTAGCCAAGCTTTCTCTGTTAAGACGCTAATTGAACTCGATTTACTATATAATATTTCCATTCTTAATCGGTAACTGAAAGAATTTCTTCGTGCAACCCTGCTGGGTATGTTTAATTTTGACTTTGAGGTATGTTTATTGGTCAAATAGCAACCAGCTGTCTAATAAATATTTATAAATTTAAACCTCGACTGAGACAAATTTGGGACGAAATGGACCAAGATATGCTGCATGCCGCTTGCAAATCCTTCTTCAAATATTTGCGTCAAAACAAATAAAGAGAAAGGTAAAGGGCTTGAATTAACGAACCAATTCCACTAAATTTGTAATGTATTATTAGCTTAACCAATAAAATAGAAATCATGAAATTTTATTAGTTTCTTTAATTTTTAACCGACTTCAAAAAAAGGAGGAGGTTATCAGTTTGTCGGAATATACATATGTTTTTTATGTATGTTACCGTATAACCGTATAACCGATTTCGATAACACTTTCTTCATCGGAAAGTTGGTACTAAGGCATCCAATCCCGGACCATTTTGTGAATCCCGGGATTTCGGAATCTTAAATTGGTAATCCCGGGATATTTCGGGATATTATTACCATTAATTAAAATATGCTAACAAACTAGTTTTGTGGTCTTGCTATAGTGCGAATACTAGAAACAAAAATAAATTTGTATTTTAAATATTATATTACTTCAGTGTATTTTAAAAGTACTATTTATAAAAATACTTGTTGATACGCAAACGTCAAGCTGTGAAGTTCTACTTATTTGTGCCTTGATTGGTCTTTGTATTTTGCAAAGTTCATTGTGCTAATTTTGAGTAAAAGTTGCTATAAAAAGTGCCTACGAGCATCTAGTGTGATAATAACCGAAGCTAAGTGAAAGTTTTGTGATTTTTGTGGTTTTTATTAAATTTAATTAAATTTCACTAGCTTACATCTAATCTTGCCGAGTCATTTGTTGTAATCATTGTTGTTGTTATTCCTTTGTAGTTAACTGAGATCGTTTCTATTTTTGCACATTTCTTTTTGCTCT